AAACTAGCGCAGCGCTGTATAGCAAAAAAATGGCGTAAATTGCAGTATCTATACCATAGTTTGTAGACACTATAACTTTCACACACAGCAATCAATATACACTTATTGGGATTTTTTTTACCAAAAACATGTAGAGAATACATTTTGGCCTAAATTTATAACTAACTTTGTGTTTACTACTATATATTTTTTATAGCTGAAAGTAAAAAATATTGTTTTTCTTCAAAATTTTAGTTATTTTTTTTGTTTATAGCGTGAAAAATAAAAAGCGCACAGGTGATCAAATACCACCGAAAGTAAGCTCTATTTGTGTGAAAAAAAAGGACGTAAATTTTGTTTGGAAGCAGCATTGCATGACCGCGCAATTATCAGTTGAATTAGTGTAGCGCCGAGTAGCAAAAAAAGGCCTCGTCATTAAGGGGGGTAAATCCTCAGGAGCTCAAGTGGTTAAAGAAAAGAATACAGTCCCTTCAGTCAAACATGGTGGAAGTTCAGTGACGTTCTGGGGTTTCTTTGCTGCTTTAGGCACTGGATGTCTTGACCGTGTGTGCATGACATTATGAAATCTGAAAACTACCAAAGAATTATGGGGTTCAATGTAGGGCCCAGTGTAACAAAGTTGGGTCTCTGCCAGAGGTCATGGGCCTTACAGCAGGACAGTGACCCAAAGCACATGCCAAAAAGCACCCAGAAATGTTTTCATACAAAGCGCTGGAGAGTACTGAAATGGCCAGCAATGAGTCCAGATCTCAGGCCCATAGAGCACCTGTGGAGAGATCTCAAAAACCCTTCGAATCTGAGAGACCTGGAGCAGTTGGAGAAAGAAGAATGGTTCTAAATTCCAATAGAGAGATGTAAGAAACTCATTGATGATTTCAGTTATTTTTTTCCAAGGGGTGTGCTACCAAATAATAAAATGAGGGTGCCAATAATTTTGTTCAGTCAATTTTTGGGGTTTTGTGTGGAATGTGTCAGATTTGGCTTTTTCATTTCTCCACTGTTTTGTGTCATACCAATACAAACAAAAGAAATAAACACGAGAATGCCTAAACATTTGTAATTGCAATAATTTTCTGGGCGAAGTGGTGCATTTGACAGACATGCAGGGGGGGCAATATTTTTGGCTATGTTTGTTTGGGGGTCTGTTCTGTCTCATTCACTTGGCTTCCATGTTTTTAATTGCTCATCTCTCATCCCCATTTATTTCTGGTTCATGCCAATTCTTCCAACCTGAGTAAATTACACTTTTTGCTGATTTTATTTTTTGTCTTTCCATGTTAGGCCAACCTCCCTCAGAATTCTCAACACGCTCATTCTGCATTGGTGCAGTCACCTCCAACTATGGTTTGATTTTTTTGAACGTGGAGCTGCAGTGTTTAGGCAGGTGGGAATTGTCACCTTCTTTCATATTCATCCTCACCTTTTTGTTTTATTTTTCTGGTCTCTCCCCTGCATTGATTTGGATATTTGGCAATTCCTTCATTTAACTGGCTTCTTGAAATACTGGAGGTTTGAGTCACAAGAAGAACCTGAGACATGCTTTTGAGATCCCCAGTGTTGGCTGGCACAGTTCTCAAGGCTTATATTGGTCACAGGTATTATCTAAATGTCTACATCTTTAAGAAAATGTTTTTGGGCCCCATAGTTGTTATTCAAGCAGGGAGTAATATCATTAGGCATTCATGTTCTGTGGAGTATATTGCGTGCACCATACAAGAGGTTGTGCATTTTGCACAAGTCTTCACCGACTTGGTCATAGTTAAACGATAGTGTCCCCCAATCGGTTTGGGCCCATCATATCCTAGGCTCCTAGGGAACATTTTAAGATGGGAGAAGAATGCCCACGTGTCAAAGTTTGTTTGCAGATTGGGGGGTATTGTATTTTGTTATAGGTATTTAGAGGGTGACAACAATATTTTGCTGAGACCTGACAGGGTTCACTTAAATAACAATGACCTTCATATCTTCAACCTCAGACTTTAATCTGGTGTCAAACAGTCGCTAGCTGCTGTAAGCAGTGATTCCTTAGAGATTCACTGACTTGTGTGTGGTGGGTTGACCTTGACAGCAATTAAAGTTGCACTGATTGTAAGGACAGGACATGCAAAGAAGTTTTCTCAATGGTGGAGGAGGAAGGAAGTGGTTTGTCCTAGTCAGATAATCTGTATTTCTGTGGTCATTGAAGACCTGAAGCTGTAACCATCACACTGCTGGAAGTTCAGAGACAGGAAGAGGACAAACATCCCTACACAGAAGACATCTACAGGGTTCAGCTGCCTGCACAACGCTGAACATCCTTCATAAAAAGTAAGTGATGTGACTAAAGATGTAGGAAACTTTTTTGATTAAACTGCAGCTTTAATGCGTGCTACACTTGCTCTCTGTTCAACCTGAAAGTTCATTTTCTCTCTCTCTCATTCAAAACAAAGCCAACTCCCACAGCCTGTCCAATGGAAGTGAGGCTACGTCTGAAACCAGGAACTGTTTGTTTTTCTTTTCTTCACTTTATTTTTCCATTTCATTCTTTCTCATTTACTTTAAAAACTATTTAAATGAGGCAAAGGAGCCTGAGGATAAAAATAAACAAATCTAAAATTTAATGATGAAACAGTTTGAGTTTCCTTGCAATTCTTTCATCATCAGTCTTTGGCGGTACTTCAGTACAGAATGAGTGCCCTGTAATAGCTGGCACAAGGAAGGCGAACTTTGGAGTGTCTGTATAAACTGCCATGTGAGATGGTTTGTGCCAGCCTCTTTAGACGCTGGCACATGCCAGGGTTGTTCTTGGAACCTCTGGCATATGCTATTTAGTAATGACATATAAACTGTGCCTCTTGTTCTCACTGGCAAAAATATGAGGTGTATTTGATGCATTTGACGTGCTGATGAGTGCCCAAAAATTTCCATAAAGATTGTTGGCATTAAAAATGTTTAAATCTTTCAAGCTACTCAATGCACTTGAGAGGAGGCTACTGGGGAGAGGGGTGATGGGCACCTGAACAGAAACTATATGGGCTACCTTTATTACCTATCACTATTGCCCTCAAAACATTTTCCTACCATAGTCTGTCCTATCTAAAAGAAACCTGCAAGTGTTCCTCTGTTATTGTTCTTAAAGCAGACCTTAGCTAGGCAGATGCACTAGGCATCATTGCAGTCCCCATGGTCTCAATGTATACTGTCAAAAACATTTTTGATGTTTGTTTTTTAAATTTTTTTTCAGTTCACTCGACCCCTTCAGCCGCTTCTTGTTTTTGCCTAGGAGAGAATCCTTGCCTGCTCTGAATCCTCCTGATATATGCATGTCACATTTACCAGAATGTTGCAGGTTCCATACAGTGACCAAAAAGGGCAGACCTGACCACTGAACCTGGAAGAGGCAGCCAGCCCCTGATGACATCAGCAATGAAGATGGTGGCACAGTATCTCACAACAAGATGCTGAATTCACTATTTGATTATGTGAACTGTGTTTTGCACCAGGAAAAAAGGTAAGAGGGAAAAAACATGGGAGATGAGTTTAGTTCCTCTTGATCTTTTTGTGATTCTAAAGGTTGTATTTAACCACTTGCCCTTCAGAGGATTTACCCCCATTCCTGACCAGGCCTTTTTTTGCTACTCGGTGCTGCACTATTTCAACTGGTAATTGCGCGGTTATGCAATGCTGTACCCAAACCAAATTTATGTCCTTCTTTTTCACACAAATAGAGCTTTCTTTCAGTGGTATTTGATCACCTGTGCACTTTTTAATTTTTGCTTTATAAACAAAAAAAGACCAAAAATTCTGAAAAAAAAAACCCAATATTTTTTACTTTCGGCTATAAAAAATATATAGTAAACTCAAAGGTAGTCATAAATTTAGGCCAAAATGTATTCTGCTACATGTTTTTGGTAAAACACATCCCCAATAAGTGGATATTGATTGCTTTGTGTAAAAGTTTATAGCGTCTACAAACTATGGTATAGACCAGGGGTCTGCAACCTTTAAGACATAAAGAGCCACTTGGACCCGTTTCCGAGAGGGAAAAAAAGACTGGGAGCCGCAAAAACCATTGCAACATTTAAAACAAATCCGACACTGCATATATTGCAAAAAGCGCTCTGGTCATGAAGGGGGTTTAAGGGGCCCAGTAAGCAAAGGCGGGTTAATCAGGGCCACAGTGTATCGTCATAATCACAATCATAGCCTTAGGTCAGTGGTGGGCAACCTTTTCAACTGAGCCAAATCTCGCCAAAACCACGATTAAAATTTATTTTGAGAGCCACATTTTTAAAACTGAAAATACATCCCCCATATAGTAATTCATCCCCCATAGTAATTCATCCCCCCTATAGTAATTCATCCCCCCTATAGTAATTCATCCCCCATATAGTAATTCATCCCCCATAGTAATTCATCCCCCATATAGTAATTCATCCCCCCTATAGTAATTCATCCCCCCTATAGTAATTCATCCCCCCTATAGTAATTCATTCCCATATTGTGTCAATTCACTTACCTGTACTCCACGCGTTCCTCTCGCCGTGTTCCCGCGCAGTTCTGGTCTTCAGGGCGGACTGTGAGAGGAGAGGAGTTTTGTCACGCTGCCCCGCCTACATCCTGACAGCCAATGTTTGCCACGCTCCGCGGGCCGGATTATAAGGTCCGCCGGGCCGTAGTTTGCCCATTGCTAGGCTAGCTGCAGAGTCCTGACTTTTGGGGCGGCCCGCCCCGAGAGGAGGGAGGGGAGCGGGCGCTCGGCACACAGAAGAGCTGCATTAACCTCCCTGGCGGTATGATTCCTGCCGATTTTTTGTGCTGAAAGCGGTACCATTTTTTCGCATGGAAATAGTTTTTTATTGTAGGCTGTAATTTTTAGGAAAATTTCCCCCACAAATCATTATCACTCAATTCTGCAAGTGGTTCTGATTTACTATCGCTGTTCTCTAGCCGGTCTAAAACCGCTTTTGACCTAAAGGGACGCTTTTTGGACGCCATGGACTTTTCTAAGTTTCCAGGCAGAAAGAACAGACAAAATGCAGGCAGGGCGCGCCGACAAAGCACTCGGGACAAAATGTATGTGAAATGGCATGAAACAGCAATGTTTTACTATGGAAAATTGAAAAAAAAAAAAAAAAGACATTTTTTTACATTTTTTAAATTTCCCGCCGCCGGCGGCACCCGTACGTCCCGACGTCACGGGGACGGGAACACAGAAGCCGGATGCCGGCATCGGCCGGAGGAGATGGCCGGGGACGCTGCAGGGGACACATCGCGGGGAACGAAGGACAAGGTAAGTGCTGCAGGGACCCCCAGAGCAGCGCCGCATGGTAAGCCCGAGTGTAGCTCGTGGTATAGAAATTCTACCACGAGCTACACTCGGGAAAACCGCCAGGGAGGTTAAAAGAGCCGCGGCTTGCCGACCACTGAGCTACAGCAACCCTATTGCCTGTCACCTGGTGGGCAGTGTGCTCCGGAGCCGCAGCAAAGGTGAAAAAGAGCCGCATGCGGCTCTGGAGCCGCGGATTGCCGACACCCGGTATAGACACTGCAATTTACACTATTTTTTCCTATGCTGCTCTAGTTTAACTGACAATTGCACGGTCAAGCAATACTGTACATAAATTTAAATTTATGTCCTTTTTTTTTCACACAAATAGAACTTTTTTAGTGGTATTTGATCACCTCTGTGTTTTTTTTTTTTTGCGCTATTTTTTTGCGCTATACACAAAAAAAAATCGAAAATGTTGAAAGAAAACCCGATATTTTCTCATTTCTGTCATAAAAAATATCCCAAAAAACTAAAATTTTGTCATAAATTTAGGTCAAATGTATTTTGATAAATGTCTTTGGTAAAAAAAATTCCAATAATTGCATGTTAATTGGTTTGTGTGAAAGTTATAGCATCTACAAACTATGGTATAGATCAGGGGTCTGCAACCTTTAAGACATAAAGAGCCACTTGGACCCGTTTCCGAAGGGAAAAAAACACTAGGAGCCGCAAAACCATTGCAACATTTAAAACAAATCCGACACTGCATATATTGCAAAAAGCGCTCTGGTCATGAAGGGGGTTTAAGGGCCCAGTAAGCAAAGGGTTAATCAGGGCCACAGTGTATCATCATAATCACAATCATAGCCTTAGGTCAGTGGTGGGCAACCTTTTTTTTCAACTGAGCCAAATCTCGCCAAAACCACGATTGAAATTTATTTTGAGAGCCACATTTTTAAAACTGAAAATACATCCCCATATAGTAATTCATCCCCCATAGTAATTCATCCCCCATAGTAATTCATCCCCCATATAGTAATTCATCCCCCATAGTAATTCATCCCCCATAGTAATTCATCCCCCATATAGTAATTCATCCCCCATATAGTAATTCAACCCCCATATAGTAATTCATCCCCCATATAGTAATTCATCCCCCATATAGTAATTCATCCCCATAGTAATTTCATCCCCCACATAGTAATTCATCCCCCATAGTAATTAATCCCCCATATAGTAATTCATCCCCCATAGTAATTCATCCCCCATATAGTAATTCATCCCCCATAGTAATTCATCCCCCCATATAGTAATTCATCCCCCATAGTAATTCATCCCCCATATAGTAATTCATCCCCCCTATAGTAATTCATCCCCCCTATAGTAATTCATTCCCCATATTGTGTCAATTCACTTACCTTTGCTCCGCGCGTTCCTCTCGCCGTGTTCCCGCGCCGTTCCGGTCTTCAGGGCGGACTATGAGAGGAGAGGAGTTCGTCACGCTGCCCCGCCTACATCCTGACAGCCAATGTTTGCCACGCTCCGCGGGCCGGATTAAAAGGTCCGCCGGGCCGTAGTTCGCCCATTGCTGGGCTAGCTGCAGAGTCCTGACTTTTGGGGCGGCCGCCCGAGAGGAGGGAGGGGAGCGGGCGCTCGGCACACAGAAGAGCCGAATTAAAATGTGTAAAGAGCCGTGGCTTGCCGACCACTGAGCTACGGCAACCCTATTGCCTGTCACCTGGTGGGCAGTGTGCTCCGGAGCCGCAGCAAAGGTGAAAAAGAGCCGCATGCGGCTCTGGAGCCGCGGGTTGCCGACACCCGGTATAGGTAATGGAATTTAGTACACAGCTTTTACTTTCTGACTGCCTATCACCAGGACAGTACAAACACCTCCAAATGACCTATTTTCGGAAAGTAGACACCCTAAGCTATCTGCTGAGAGCCATGTTGAGTCCATGGAAGATTTATTTTTTTTTCCATAAGTTTTTGGAAAATGACGAAAAAAAAATATTTTTTTGTTTTACACAAAGTTGTTACTTAAATGGTATACTTCTCACACAAGCCATGGGTATATATGGAATTACTCCCCAAAATACATTCTGCTACTTCTACCGACTATGAGGATACCACATATGTGAGACTTTTTGGGAGCCTAGCCACATACAGGCGCCTGAAATCCAATGACCACTTTGAAAGCCTGAAGGTGCATAACTTTCTAATTTTACTTCCTCACTACCTATCAAAGATTCGGAGGCCCTGAAATGCCAGGATAGCAGCAACCCCCTCCCCCCAAATGACCCCTTTTTGGAAAGTAGACACCCCTAGGAATTTAAAAAGAAGCATGGTGAGTATTTTGCAGATGCCATTTTTTCTCACAAGTTTTTGAAATATAAAAAAAAAAGAAAAAATATGTTTTTGTTTTCTTTCTTTATTTTCCAAAAACTTGTTAGCAACAAATGAGATCTTCAAAATATTCACCATGCTTCTTACCCCAAGGAATATGTGCCAAAAAATATTATAAAATATATATGCTGAAGCATAGGGGGGGGAAGTACGGGATACTAGGAGCTCTACGGGGCCGTGTTCGAATTCTTGGTGGCTGCGGGACACTACTTGTGCTTGCCACCGCACCAGTTTGGACTCGCCACATCACCAAGGCTGATTGTGTCAGGGAGTCTTCCCCTTTGCTCTCGCCTGACATGCTCAGAATCCTGTAGGCCTCTTCAACTAGAATACATTTCGTTGGATATTTTGGCCACTAAATTTATACGTACCTAGTGCGACTTATGGGAAAAAGAGCACCTGGCTGTCAAGGACTGCTTGAACCGCTACAAAAAAATTTACCTGCACGTGCTAACAGAGATCAAACCTGATTCTGTGAACGCTGCGGTTTTGTGTGCAATATATAAAGTGACAGTGATCTACTGACACTGTACTTGCTGGGGGAGAAGGGGGTAAGCATAGGGGCTGAACACAGGTGCTGGCAGCTGCCTGATCCCGCTAGCGCTGCATTTTTGGGGACACTATACTAATATGAACGCTGGTATAGTGCTGATCTGATCAAAGATTTTGATCTGTTCAGACACTATACTAGCAATGGAGGATTATTGTGTATGTGAGCATGTTCCTGGAAACCAAGGGGTTAAATGTGATGACTGGAGTAATGACGGGCAATCTGACGCTATCTGGGAGGGACGCTGAAGTCACCGGTGACACTAATACAGTGATCAGCAAAAAATCTGTACGCTGTACTAATGACACTGGTGACAGGGCAGTGAAGGGGTTAACTGGGGGGGGTTGATCAAGGGGTTAAATATGTATTATAAGTGTTCTAAACTTTTTGGGAGCCTAGCCACATACAGGCGCCTGAAATCCAATGACCACTTTGAAAGCCTGAAGGTGCATAACTTCCTCATTTTACTTCCTCACTACCTATCAAAGTTTCGGAGGCCCTGAAATGCCAGGATAGCAGCAACCCCCCCCCCCCCCCCCAAATGACCCCTTTTTGGAAAGTAGACACCCCTAGGAATTTAAAAAGAAGCATGTTGAGTATTTTGCAGATGCCATTTTTTCTCACAAGGTTTTGAAATATAAAAAAAAAAAAGAAAAAAAATATGTTTTTGTTTTCTTTCTTTATTTTCCAAAAACTTGTAGCAACAAATGAGATCTTCAAAATATTCACCATGCTTCTTACCCCAAGGAATATGTGCCAAAAATATTATAAAATATATATGCTGAAGCATAGGGGTCATCCACCCACTGGTCAGCCTTACCCCAAGCTTTGACATACATGCTCTTTTTTACTGCGGATGAAAAATCTCACCCAACAACGCTGCACCCACTTACTTATGTATATTCTGAGAGCAAGACTCTGTTGCTGTAAGAACAAACATGTCAGTGATGCAGCTGAATGGCATTCCTGCAAAGAAAACAGCAATGGTTAACAATAAAACCGTAACAATAAAACAGTAACTCAATAAAACAACGTTTTTATTGAAATATGTGCCAAAAATATTATAAAATATATATGCCGAAGCATAGGGGCCATCCACCCACTGGCCACCTCAGGCCCTCATTCTTCGGCATATATGCTCTTTTTTATCTATGGATGAAAAATCTCATCCAACAGCACTGCACACACTTACTTATGTAAATTCTGAGAGCAAGTTCATGTTGCTGTCTGAGTAAACAGCTGAATGGCATTCTTGCAAAGAAAACAGCAATGGTTAACAATAAAACAGTAACAATAAAACAGTAAAATTGTAAGAGAACAATAACTCGACAACAACAAAAAAAACTACATCTATTTTTGGTTTTTATAATGTTTTTATTTTTCTTTGTACTTGTACTTTTTATGCTTTTTTTTTTTCCTTTTTTTTTTAACTTTAACTTAACCAGATTGCAGGATCTCTGCAAAATGCAATAGGCAGTTTCCTGACTACCTAACATCTTTTGGGACTGTCACAGTTCACCCCCACACCCCTTGCCTGCTGTCCCTCTGCCCCTGTCTTTAATCACATCATCCGTCCCTCCCCCTTGCAGATTCCTCACGTCCTGTTACAGTCTACTTCAAAGGCTGCCCAGGACGGGAGGAAGCGACCCCTGTGGTGCGGGTCGCACCTCTCCCCTGCGATGTTGCCAAGGAGTCACGACCCCCTACCAGGAAACCCCGGCGCAGGCCGCTGGGGTGTCTCCGCGCACCCCCTCAGCGGGCACAGCGCAGGCACGAGGCTTCCCATGCTCTGCGCCCACCAGAGACAAAGGCCACGCTCACGAAAGTGCGGCCAGAGTCAGGGGGGCATGCCTCGTTGCCTCAGCTTAAGTAGGCCAGAGCGGGACCCAGCCCCTGTCTTTTGTTGCTGGTCACTGGAGCTGCTGCCGGGAGGTCTGAGTTGAGGCCAGACCCACGCAGCCATCCCCGCTGAGCACTCTGCTGATCCCTGTGCCAGTGTTACCTGCTGCTGCTGCTGTGGGCCCAGGAATACTCTGCTGCATTACTCGCTGTGTTCCCAGAAATACTCCCCGCTGGATTACCTGCTGTGTGCCCAAAAATACTCTGCTGGATTGCCCGCTGCGTGCCCAGGAGTATCGCTACTTGCCTGCTGCGTGTGTGGGCCCAGGAATACCCGGCTGTTACTCGCTGTGTACCATGGAGCATCGTTGCCTGCTGTCGGCTGTGTGTGCCAGAGGTGACCCCTGCCAGAACTGTGAGTGTCCATACCCCTCTTTGCCCTGCCTGGACTATCCGTGAATCCCCCTACTTTTCCCTACCTGGACTGTCCGTGAATCCCCCTTTCTAAGACGGGTCTTTACATGTCCATTGGGGAAAGCCCCTGCGATTAGGTCACACGGTGCCACATGCACCAATTTCAAAATTGTGCAAATGTCTAAATAGTGTCATGCTTGAAAAAAAATTGTCCACGTATAAGAGGTACCCCATATGGAAAAAGGATGACACAAAGTCCCAAACTATCTTGCCACTGCTCCCCATGCAGTCTGTGGGCTCCACGTGTCTTTTCCCTCGTAAATTCAAAACTTATTTGTATAGCCTGTTGCCCTCTCACAGGTCCTATACATCTTGACCCCATATCTGGCATGCTTGCTGGGGAGAAATTGTTTGAATGAAAGGCGGCCAGAATGCAAGATGTTTTTGCTGGGGAGTATAGACATCTGCAAATTTTTGGTTAAGGTGATTTACAAGGGGCCGAATTTTGTGGAGTCAGTTAAATTCAGAGTCATCTCGAGGACGACAGAGTGTGTCACATACCTGATTGGAGACTGAAATGACGAGGTCGGCCTCACTTGTGTCACTAGCCCTGACCCCACTGGAAGTGGAACAGAGGGTGTCTAGGGACCAAGGGGACAAGAGCGCCAGCAGATGTTGTTTGCAGATCTTGCAGTTGGAGACTTTGGAAGGCTGATGAACCTCCGATTCAGGCACCGTAGTAATATGCAGAGCTGGTATGGTAGATTTCCAGGTGTGCACCAGAGCAAGGCAGGAAGAAGGGATGGGAGACAGGAGCAGTGTCAAAGGAATAGCCAGGGTCATCAGCAGACAGCGAGGTACTAAATCATAAGCAAGCCAAAGTCAAGAGCAGTGCCAAAGTCAGGAACCAGTATCAAGCAGGAGAGGAATCAGAGTCAGGTCAGGAACAAGCCGGGTCAGCAACAAGGAAATCACACACAGGAACAAGCAGGAAACGGGACAGCTGAAGACCAGTCAGCACTCAGCACAGGCAAAGGCACCTTTTAAATAGTCCGTCTGGCGCCAATCTTCACTGTGCGTGTGCATGTGCGTGTGCGTGATCGTGCATTTCTGTGCACATGCGCACGTCTATTCACCAGCCATCTCACGGGAATTCCCTTACAGAGTGTATTGTCATTGAAATGAATAAAACGTATTATATTCTCATATCTATACCTAGCCATGGCAGAAGAGAACAGGGGCATATGATGAATCGGGTCTGTGGACCAATACAACCGCGATTCATTTTTTTTAGTAATGCCCATGTTGAGGGTTAGGCCCAAAAAAACTTTAAATTGAGAAACCATAATAGGTTTCCATGCAAATGGTCTCGCAAGGTTTGAACTTGAGTTGGGGGCGATAAAACTGTTGTGTATATAAATTGCTGTGATCTACAATCAATGCATACAGATCTTCTGTGAAAAAACAGCTCCAAAAAATCAAGGGGAGTAGTTAAACTTGCTGTTTCTACCTGAATTCTGAGTCGGGCAGTGAATGGGGGAAGTACGGGATACTAGGAGCTCTACGGGGCCGTGTTCGAATTCTTGGTGGCTGCGGGACACTACTTGTGCTTGCCACCGCACCAGTTTGGACTCGCCACATCACCAAGGCTGATTGTGTCAGGGAGTCTTCCCCTTTGCTCTCGCCTGACATGCTCAGAATCCTGTAGGCCTCTTCAACTAGAGTACATTTCGTTGGATATTTTGGCCACTAAATTTATATGTACCTAGTGCGACTTATGGGAAAAAGAGCACCTGGCTGTCAAGGACTGCTTGAACCGCTACAAAAAAATTTACCTGCACGTGCTAACAGAGATCAAACCTGATTCTGTGAATGCTGCGGTTTTGTGTGCAATATACAGTCAGGTCCATAAATATTGGGACATCGACACAATTCTAACATTTTTGGCTCTATACACCACCACAGTGGATTTGAAATGAAACAAACAAGATGTGCTTTAACTGCAGACTGTCAGCTTTATTTGAGGGTATTTACATCCAAATCAGGTGAACGGTGTAGGAATTACAACAGTTTGCATATGTGCCTCCCACTTCTTAAGGGACCAAAAGTAATGGAACAGAATAATAATCATAAATCAAACTTTCACTTTTTAATACTTGGTTGCAAATCCTTTGCAGTCAATTACAGCCTGAAGTCTGGAACACATAGACATCACCAGACGCTGGGTTTCATCCTGGTGATGCTCTGTTAGGCCTCTACTGCAACTGTCTTCAGTTCCTGCTTGTTCTTGGGGCATTTTCCCTTCAGTTTTGTCTTCAGCAAGTGAAATGCATGCTCAATCGGATTCAGGTCAGGTGATTGACTTGGCCATTGCATAACATTCCACTTAAAAAACTCTTTGGTTGCTTTTGCAGTATGCTTTGGGTCATTGTCCATCTGTACTGTGTAGCGGCGTCCAATGAGTTCTGAAGCATTTGGCTGAATATGAGCAGATAATATTGCCCGAAACACTTCAGAATTCATCCTACTGCTTTTGTCAGCAGTCACATCATCAATAAATACAAGAGAACCAGTTCCATTGGCAGCCATACATGCCCACGCCATGACACTACCACCACCATGCTTCACTGATGAGGTGGTATGCTTAGGATCATGAGCGGTTCCTTTCCTTCTCCACACTCTTCTCTTCCCATCACTCTGGTACAAGTTGATATCGGTCTCATCTGTCCATAGGATGTTGTTCCAGAACTGTGAAGGCTTTTTTAGATGTCGTTTGGCAAACTCTAATCTGGCCTTCCTGTTTTTGAGGCTCACCAATGGTTTACATCTTGTGGTGAACCCTCTGTATTCAGTCTGGTGAAGTCTTCTCTCGATTGTTGACTTTGTCACACATACACCTACCTCCTGGAGAGTGTTCTTGATCTGGACAACTGTTGTGAAGGGTGTTTTTTTCACCAGGGAAAGAATTCTTCAGTCATCCACCACAGTTGTTTTTTCCGTGATCTTCCGGGTCTTTTGGTGTTGCTGAGCTCACCGGTGCGTTATTTCTTTTTAAGAATGTTCCAAACAGTTGTTTTAGCCACGCCTAATGTTTTTGCTATCTCTCTGATGGGTTTGTTTTGTTTTTTTCAGCCTAATGATGGCTTGCTTCACTGATAGTGACAGCTCTTTGGATCTCATCTTGAGAGTTGACAGCAACAGATTCCAAATGCAAATAGCACACTTGAAATGAACTCTGGACCTTTTATCTGCTCATTGTAATTGGGATAATGAGGGAATAATACACACCTGGCCATGCAACAACTGAGAAGCCAATTGTCCCATTACTTTTGGTCCCTTAAGAAGTGGGAGGCACATATGCAAACTGTTGTAATTCCTACACCGTTCACCTGATTTGGATGTAAATACCCTCAAATTAAAACTGACAGTCTGCAGTTAAAGCACATCTTGTTCGTTTCATTTCAAATCCATTGTGGTGGTGTATAGAGCCAAAAAATGTTAGAATTGTGTCAATGTCCCAATATTTATGGACCTGACTGTATAAAGTGACAGTGATCTACTGACACTGTACTTGCTGGGGGAGAAGGGGGTAAGCATAGGGGCTGAACACAGGTGCTGGCAGCTGCCTGATCCCGCTAGCGCTGCATTTTTGGGGACACTATACTAATATGAACGCTGGTATAGTGCTGATCTGATCAAAGATTTTGATCTGTTCAGACACTATACTAGCAATGGAGGATTATTGTGTATGTGAGCATGTTCCTGGAAACCAAGGGGTTAAATGTGATGACTGGAGTAATGACGGGCAATCTGACGCTATCTGGGAGGGACGCTGAAGTCACCGGTGACACTAATACACTGATCAGCAAAAAAATCTGTACGCTGTACTAATGACACTGGTGACAGGGCAGTGAAGGGGTTAACTGGGGGGGTTGATCAAGGGGTTAAATATGTACTATAAGTGTTCTAAACTATGTGCAAGTGTGCTGCTTTACTCACTGTGTCTTCTTTCTTCTCTCTCTGGGATGCAATGTGGCCAGAGAGAGAAGATTTCATCATTTCCTGTACCTGTGTAAGTGTAAACACAGGTACAGGAAGATCCCTGATAGGCCAGGGATCGGTCATCCAATTTAGGTAGTTATAGTATTACTGCTATAGGGCAGACAGGAAGCGGTTAAAAAAAAGAACAAACATCTCATGCTTACCTGCTCTGTGGTTTTGCACAGAGCAGCCCTGATTATCTTCTTTTTGGGTCCCCCGCTGTTGGTCCTGGCTCCTCCCCCTTGCCAAGTCTCTTGCTATGGGGGCACCTGAGCTGTGCTCCTGTGAATGGGCATTGTCTATTCACACACAAAGCATGGCTCGGCCCTGCTCCCCACTCTCTCCTCATTGGCTCCCTCGCTGTGATTGACAGCAGCAGAAGCCAATGGCTCCCGCTGCTGTGTGAGCCAATGAGGAGCGAGAGAGACCCGGGAGAGCCGCTACTCTCATGCACATAGCTGGATCGAGACGGGTCACAAGTAAATATAAGGGGGGCTGGGGGGAGCTGCACCCAGAGCATGCATTAAGGTTAAAAACCTTCTGCTTTTAGAACCACTTTAACTTAGAGGGGTTAAAGTGAACTCAGTACATCCTCCAAAGTGTATAAACTGACATTGTACCTGATCACAAATGCTCTAGGATTTGGCAACTAAACAAAAAGGTGCAGAGCCTATGAGGAGGTAGGTCGTAAAGATCAACTCTGGGCTCAGGATGCCTCCCACCCCCCTTGGGCACCTCTGCACTATAAAAAACAACATACTTTCCTTGATCTGTAGGTGTCTTCAGTTCAGTGACATCATAGGCCCTCTGAGAGAGCAGTGCCATGTAATGATGCGGTGCCAGTCTCTGCATTAGCCTGTGAGTTCTAGGCAAGGGATGGGACCTGGATGCCCTGGCTTTAAAGGAAAGAGGTTGATTAATACTAGGCATCATCCCATCTGGACAAGGAACAATGCTGGATTGGTGAGTGGGTAAGTCTGTGGAGGAGAGCAAGATAAGGAAAGTATTTCAGCCAAATCTACTGCTCGAAATTGGATTTTTTTTTCTCTAAGCTTGACTTGGGCTTTAATGTCAACTTTTAGAGAACTTAAAGCTGTTTACACAGCCAGGGTTTGCCAAGAACACATTAAATGGTCTGAAGACTATTGCAGGTACTTGCAAACAATATAAAGTGACTGTAGTTTGCCAATAATTATAGCTTATACATCTTAAAGAGAATGACAGGTTGACTTTAACCTTCCAATTGTATTGTATCAGAGTTGGCTCAGATAGATCCTTTTGGGGCCCCCTTACTTTTGCATACACTGGACAGGAATACTGCATACCCAGTTGATGGAGTCGTGGGCCCCTACAATTTAAAGTGCCTGAAAGAAGAACTGTTTTACTCCACTGGGTTGATTTTCTAAAACTGCAAAATGTGGTGCAGCTGTGCACAGAAACCAATCAGCTTCCAGTTTTTTTTTTTTTGTCAAAGCTTAATTGAAAAAGTTGAAGTTAGAAGCTGATTGGCTACCATGCACAGCTGCACCAGATTTTGCACTCTCCAGTTTTCAACCACATTGACTTGTTTTTAGGTTTCTACAAAATAGAAAATTAAAAAAAAAAAGTATATTTGATTGCAAGGGCCACATAAAGGCTACACTGGTCAGATATGACAAGAAGTATTCACCTGGATTGAACTGCCATGGTTTTTACAGACTTGTTCCAGAATTAACAGAATGTTTGCTATTACAGTCATACTGCCGTCTTCTGATGGTTGTGTGTTCCCTACTGTCTACCACCTTCTACAACAGCTGGAAGAGGAAGGGAATGACTAAATGGAATGGGTTACATGACTTTTCAGCCACTGCCACTCATACAGGAGTCATGAATATTTCAATGACTGCCAGTTGTAGAGAATGAAGCGTGAAACATTTTAAACATTGCAACTGTGCACAGGGCCGGTGAACAAGGCAGCACTGCCTCGTAGGGCGCAACCATGGCCACTGGTTTTCATATTCTGCTGATGACAGGTCCTCTTTGCTCTCCTAATATAAAGGTGATGAAAGACTCATCAACATTCTGCCATCAAGGGCATCTGGTCTGCAGACTCCTGCCACAGGTGGTGACACGAACATCAGAGGTTCCTATGGAGTGGCCCCAGCTGAGGATCGAAGCCTTCTGGGGACAGACGTGACATCACTGATGACACATCATCAATGGTGTCATGTCTGGCTTGTACTTAGCACAATATATTTTGTTTATTTACTGCTACGCTCATATGGCACTTGCATCT